GGGTCTAGGGGTTTAGGGGTTTGGGTTTAGGGGTTTAGGGGTTTAGGGTTTAGGGTTCAGCTCATGCTTCTCCTGGGTAGTAGAGGAGGTAACCCTGGGTTCCTTTAAGGAATCCTTTAAGGGGTGCTGGGGAGGGCCTAGGCTACTATAAGGGCTTCTATAAGGGTTTCTAAGGGGCTTTTAGTAGTGGGGTAGCTAACCTTCAACTTGTTTGAGGTATTGTAGTCCTTATACACTCCCAAAGGTCAATCTTTAGTAGGATACTGGACAGATAAGTTCCTGTAAAGGGACCCTAATGCCCGTATCATAGAAGCCGGACTAATTAGCAATACTATTCTTCAGGTTTCCTGCTTCTGATCATAACTTTCAAGTCCGCAAGAACGCTTTTCTAATTACGAAGGCAACTTCGCTCTAAAGCCATTGAGTCGAACACCGGAGAGCTACAGCCGAGGCAGGTATTATAGGGGCCTTATGTCAATGTGGCCTTAAGCATAAGACTAGAGTAGGGCTTAATGGGAACAAGGTTCCGTGAACTAAACCCTACGCCCTCAGACCTAAACCCTAAACCCTATAAGGGGTAATTTAAGACGTGTATGCCAGTTTAGGGCTTCAGGACTTAAATTAAAGTTTCAGGGTTTAGGGTTAAGGGGGTACTATTGAGAGGTCTTGAAAGGGCTTTAGGGTTTTCAGGGATTTGGGTTCAGGAGGTACTATTAAGAGGTCTTGAAAGGGCTTTAGAGTTTTAGGGTTTAGGGTTTAGGGGGTACTATTAAGAGGTCTTAAAAGGTTTTTAGGGTTTTCAGGGTTTAGGGTTCAGATCTCAGCTTCTGAGGCGGGCTCTCCGAAATCGGAGTTCCAAGAGAGCCCAACACCCCGTAACTACTTATGGAATAGACCCTAAACTGTAGTGGGCCTTGTAATGATTCACGATCACCTACACTCTGAAGGATCACGGATCACATGTCATGTTAACGCAAAGTGCTACACTCAAGAGTCAGCAGGCTGAACTCATGGAGCAACCAAGAACACCCTAAAATCCTAAACCCCTAAACCGCTAAACCCCAGACCCCCTAAACCCTGAACCCCTAAACCCTTAAAACCCCAGACCCCCAAACACTAAACCCTTATATAAACCCTAAACCTCTAAACCCTGAAGCCCTAAACCCCTAGACCCTTAAAGCCCCAAAGCCCCAAATCCCTAAAACCCACGTCCGGCAAGCCTAAGCCCTGAACCGCACAGCCCTCCTTAGCCCTCAACCTCAGACCGAGGCTTGAAACTGTGGGCCCTGGAACCCTCGAGCCTAAGTGGGTTTAGGGTTTAGGGTGGGTTTAGGATTTAGGGTTTAGGGTTCAGGGTTTAGGGTTTAGGGTGGGTTCAGGGTTTAGGGTTGGTTTACGGTAGGTTTAGGGTATAGGGATGGTAAACTCCTAGTTAGTACCCGAAACCCTACACCCTGGACCCT